AACAACAGAAGGACCAGAAAGTTGGGGTACGATTAAATCCGAATGGAAATTATGTGAAACTGGATTATTTCAGTCTCCCGTTAATTTTCGTAACAAAACTGTGAAAATTACCACTGCTATCCCTCGTTTGAAACCAAATTACAAAAATGCCCCTGCTATGATAGTTAACAGAGGTCATGATATCAAGGTACGTAACTCTAAAATAATCATGGTACATTTCATATTTGTAAAAAGTTAAATTATTTAAGTCCCTAATAGTTTATTGGATAAATCATCCGTTTACTAAGTGAAACATCAAATGATGAGTTTATACGAAAACTCTCTTTTATTGATATTTAATTGGTATAAGACTATAAGCTATTAGATTGAGTCGATTAAAAGTGTATTAGATTTATGATAAGAACATATATATAAGTTGAATCGTTAAATATAAATTTTGAACTTAGTGTATTAGATTTATGATAAGAACATATATATAAGTTGAATCGTTAAATATAAATTTTGAACTTTTCTGTTATAGTATATGATATTCATCTTCTTGAAATTCTGAATCCGCTCGGATAAATAATGAGTGTTTTGGCAGTTGCAATGGGAAACAGATGCAGGAAGTATCAACATTGATGGTACTGAGTACAGATTACAACAATGCCATTGGCATACTCCTTCTGAGCACAAAGTTGATGGAAAATGGTTTGTATATATATTAATATAGTATATGGTTTTAAATTAAAAAATTAATTATATAAATGCATGGACTCTTTAACTTATTTAATTACTACTCCTACTATATAGAACTCTTGTCTCGATTTATGTGACACATTTCATTTTTCGAGAATTAAACAGTTTAAGTTTGATTAAGAATTTGCTCATGAAATCTTTAAATTTTTAAAATGAAATTTATGTGCTACGGAAAAAGTACTATAAGTCACAATAATTGATAATTCAAAATATATTTAAAATTTACGATAAAAAATAGACTTGTTTTGAATCTCGAAATTCAAAATGTGTTACATAAATTGGGACAAAAAGAATAAGTGATTATTATTTGAGTTAACTAATCGGAGATCTAGTAGAGACTTAGATTTATATTATATTAATTAATTGATATTAGAAGCGAGAATGATGACATGAATAACGAAAAATCTTTACAGTTTTGCTATGGAAGCCCATATGGTTCATCAGAGTGCTGATGGTAGATTAGCTGTGGTTGCTATACCCTTCAAAATTGGTGCCCCTAACCCTTTTCTTGATGAGGTACCTAATCCTCTCTCTCGATTTTTTATTCTGTGTTTGATATTCGTGTTACGTAAAGTTCATCTAATTTGAAGGATAATGACAAGTGTTATGTCACTTGACTTAGAGCAGGACACGTGTACAATATCATATCACCTAATTTCAATCTAATGTCATAAATTTTGTTATCATTATCTTCTTCGTCTACTCAATTACGTAATTACATTCAATGAAGGGTTGTTATTAATTGACTTTATTGAAATTGTACTTAAATATTTTTAACGAAATTTCTGATTGTGCGACCAGTTAATAGGCCATGCAAAGACAGTTGATGATAAGGGTCTTAAATTGGGACTTGTTGACCCTCAACAACTTGGAGTCAAAGCTGAACCTTTCTATAGATACATTGGTTCACTCACTGTTCCTCCATGCACTGAGGGTATTGTTTGGAGTGTATTATATGAGGTATTCATATTTAAATTATATTATATGGATATTAAATTATAATATAAAAAAGGGAAGAAGATATTTTAATTTGCAATTATTGACTATTTTATTGGCTAATTTAGGCAAGGACTGTTTCAATGGAACAAATGATGGCACTAAGAAATGCTGTTCATGATGTAAGTATTAAACTTCTCTTTTGGATATTGTTTGAGTTAGCTGATTAAAAATAACTGATAAATATCGAATGCTGAAAACACAATTTGTTAATTTTATAAATAAATAATTATACGTGGATAGAAATACTAAAACTAATCGTAAGATGTTAGTGTGTTTGGTATCACATGTTAAAACTACTTTAGATAAAAAAAAAAAAAAAAAGTCATGAGTAAATTGAAAGGGCGCCTTTGAAGAAGCAGTAAAATTGTCTGCCAAAATCGAACTGTAAAAGCAGTCACTAATATGTAGATTGTCTCATCACACTAGTTGTAGTGCGCTCCTTCACTGAACCTTGTCAACGTTGGATGTTTTGCGCAACTTTTAATGATGTTATGTTTTTTTTTTTAACAGGGATTTGAAGCAAATGCAAGACCAGTTCAAGGCTTACATAGAAGACCAGTGTATCTAGCTATGTAAGATAGATGATGGCATGTTAATTTTAAAAGAAAAAAAAGAGTATTTCTTCATTGCAATATTATTGTATACCTTATTAAAATATATACTCTATGTATGGTGGTCAAGTATTGGAAATTATCTTTTAAATAGATATATTTGAAAACCAATTAAAAGTCTCACACACACACACATATATATATATATATATATATATATAATATAGTTGAGATGAGGTCCATATACACTAGTCTTTTTTTTTTCCTTTCCAAAAATATGCATACTATCTTAATTTATGCATTGATAGTATAAAAAATATTTATTTTTATACAATCAGATCATTTATAAATTAGTTAAAAGAGAAAAATACAGGAAAACAATTATCTTCTCTTCAAGTTAAGTTTTTGTATAGCACAATCTACTCTAAGAGGTCATCTTTTTTGTTTTTATAATCGAGAAATATCTAAAGTTGAATAACGCGTGATTTGAAACTCGTGAGTCGTGATTAATGACTTTGTTTCCATTTTTCTTCACTTGAATATTAGAGTTTTATATGTAATAGTTTTGAATTTCTTGACATACGACACATAATCTACATAATACGTGTTGCATTCATGACATATTATGTGTAACCAGCATAATACATGTTGTGTTCTTTCTACTAGTGCAATTATGTTGTACAAATGCAAAATGTAACATTATTAGCAAAATAATTGACCAATTCATCCCTTTGCTTCCATTAGTAGTTAAATTTGAAGTTAAATTTTGTTTAAATATGTAATTTAGATTTTTAAAATTGTATTTTTTTTTTATCAACATGAAAATGTGATAATATATGAAAACTCTATAAGCTTGTCAATTCTAACAATCTTATTAAATTAATACTTCATAATTCATAAGTAAAATATCATAAATATGATTTTATAGAAGTAATAGATCGATTAATAAATCTGATTGACAAAATAGAAAGTAAAGTAAGTTGACTAATTACTTTTGCATGTTATAAACTAGTAAAAATTCAGATTGACTAATTCTTAAACTTGACTCATAAGTCAAAAAAGCAATTTAATGAGGTGTATATATATAGATGTTTAATTAATTATAATTAATGTTTAAATGTCTAATTATATATCTTGGAATTAATCCCTTTGGACTCTTTCTCCTTTAGTGTAATACAAAGAATAAAGTATATTTTGGGCATTTTTCACTTTTTATGTTTGTGGATTTCTTTTCTTTTTCATTTTTAGTTTTCTTGTCTCATATGAAAAATAAAGTACCTCAATTGATTGTGAAATTTGTTTTCCTCCTTAAATTATATTGTCTAAATAAAATATTGATTTACAAGCCTATCAAAAAAGTGTCTACAAATTTATCAAGTACGTTCAATAATTAACACCTCATTTAATTCTTGTAACATCTTTATTTAATTCTCTTATAATTTAATATAATACAAACACAAGTTACACATTTATTTTTCTTGATGCTATCATGGGAGTGTGTAAAATTTTGAGTTAACCATCAAAAACATATTTAAAGTATATCATTTTATTACTCCCCCATTTCATATTAGTTTATTATTTTTCTTTTTACATGCATATTAAGAAATCATAAATAAGAAGATAATTTCACTAATTAACTCCTTTTTACTAACAAATGTGAACACTTAAAAAATAATAATTATAAGAGTAATATAAAAAAATTAATTAATGATTTCTTAATTTAGTAAGGTGGACAACTAATATAGGATAATTATTTTTAGTAAGATGATCAACTAATATGAGAAGGAGAGAGAAAATTTCATATCTGAACTATTGAGAGTAATTTTTCTACCTTAACTATCACCCATTGATTGGCGAAACACACCTAGACGTTTATTAGACCAAAATATTTGTGTAGAAATGCTTGTAGGCACGTTTGCTCATAAAATTTTCGTCCACCTTACTTATATAATGACTCTATAATTTGCCTACACATTAATATTTTAAATATATATTTAGTTGACTTCTTTAAAACCTTAAACTCTCCCTTTCGGAGATATCAATGACACGACATAGACAAGATCATTACTAAGAAGGTGGACAAGAAGATAGTCAATGTCATGGTTAGAACAAATTAATTTACATAGTGATAATTTTAAACATTTAACCTAATATTAATTTATTTTTGGATTTGCCACGGACCAGGATCAAATTATTTTTTCACATTGAGTGTCACGTGACAAAAATTTTAAATAAAAGAAAGAGTATACTCATATCATCAAAAATTAGTCGAGATGTGTTTCACTAACTATTGGGTGATAGTTCGGATAGCAAACTCACACCTTCAATATTTCAAGTGTGAAACTCAAAAAAGTGGGATAATCTAAATGTATTTTTGACACTTAACTATTACTCCCTCTGTCTCATATTAATTAACCATTTTTCTAAAGTAGTAATCCACATTTCTAAATCAACAAAATAGTAATTAATTTTTTTTATATATTACTCTTGCAAACGAAAAAAGGAAAATGATTCTTTTACCTTATTTGATATTCCCTTTAAATAATTCAAATTTATGGGAAAAAGAGTTAATTTTTTTTAAAAAAAATATTTGTTTCTCTTTCTTCCACCTATACACACATCTAACAAAAATTCCCAAAAAACACACACACACATACTAAAAAACCAAATCAAAAAACATAAAAGATTTCCTCAATCTGAGGAAAAACAAAACACACATTCCCATCAACAAGATTTACTCATTGAAATTCCTTCACAAATTCAAGAATTCACTAACCCACAAACCGAAAATGTCATCAGCACAATCAGAAAAACAAACCCTTTTCATTGCTTCACTTATCATCATCTGGTACTCATCCAACATTGGTGTCCTTCTCCTAAACAAATTATTACTCTCAAACTATGGTTTTTCTTTCCCTATTTTCCTCACAATGTGTCATATGTCAGCTTGTGCTGTTCTTAGCTATGTTTCCATTGTTTTCTTAAAGATTGTACCTATTCAGAGGATCAAATCAAGGTCTCAATTCTTAAGAATTGCTACTCTTAGCATTGTCTTTTGTGGGTCTGTTGTTGGTGGGAACATTTCTTTAAGGTATCTTCCTGTATCATTCAATCAAGCTGTCGGTGCAACGACACCGTTTTTCACAGCTTTGTTTGCTTATCTGATCACTCAGAAGAGGGAAGCTTGGATTACTTATGGTTGTCTTGTTCCTGTGGTTGCTGGTGTTGTGATTGCTAGTGGGGTATGTTGAAAAATGTTTAAAGATTTGATTTTTGGGTTTATTTTGAAAGTTTGGTTATTTGCTTTCTGTTGATCTTGCTGTGATTTGGTTTTTTATGTATAAAAGAGGATTCTTTGCTAGTGGGGCATGTAGAAAATGTTTAAAGATTTGATTTTTGGTTCAGTTTTGAAATTTTGTTTGTTTGATTTCTATTGATCTTGCTGTGATTTGGTTTTTATGAGTATAAGAGTAATCTTTTTCTTGTTTTCTGAGTGACCCTTTTGGAATCTTGTATCTTTCCCCTTAAATGTAGTTGATCTATACTTGCTAGTACAAAATTGGAGGATTTTTGAAGTGTGAATCACTGAATCTTATTGCTGTGATTTGGTTTTAATGAGTAAAAGAGGAATCTTTTTCTTGTTTTCTGAGCCTTTTGGGATCTTTTATCTTTTCCTCTAACTGTAGTTGATCTATACTTGCTAGTACAAAATTGGAGGTTTTGAAGGTTTTCTTTTGAAGTGTAAATCTTACAGCTTGAGATCAGATCTGGGATTTGTTTGCTCTTTTAATACATTATGCAAATTCTTATTTTTTTTCTCTACCATGCACTTATATTGTTGAAATTGATTTCAAATGTAGTCACCATTTTATGATTAATAGACTTTTAACAAACTGAGAGATCCAAAGTCTGCTGGTGAGAATTTAACAGCTTGTTTGGATGGTTGTTACCTATTGTATTGTATTGTTAGTTTAAATGCTATGATTGTTTTGATTGTTACTCTTGTATCATTAAATCCATTGTTACATAACGACAAAAAGTCCCTTTTTATGTAGCACTGATTTGGTGTGATCGCGTCGTTACCTTATCTTTTGTTCTCATTTTATCTTTGCTTATTATCTAATAATCCTACTTTATCCTTTAATCTACCATATTATAATAGTTCTACTTGTGCCCTACTTTTCTTATAAGTTTGTCCGTCAAATTGTTCATGTGTGCATTATGTAACAATGGAAAACGATACATTCTATCCAGCCATTGTATTCATCAATACAATATAGTACAATACATTACAATGCATGAAATGATATGTAACAACCATCCAAACAAAGTAGAGGATTTGAAGTAAATAGGAAGTGGTAATTAACTATTTCAAGTTTTAAGTAATAAGCAGGCTTGAAAAGCTGGAATATTTGGTCTATCATGTGACAAAACAAGGTAATCTATAGCTTTCTTACCTTATTTTGAAAATTAACGAAAATGTTACCACCTTAATACCTTGTCATCGGATATTTTGATAAACTCCAAATCTGTCAAGTTTCAAGTTATATTTTCTTCAGATATATTTGACATAAATTACCTTTTGAGAAGAGTGAAAATGGAAGAAAGGTTTATATACAAAATCATGTGCTTAAGGAAAATTACTCTCTAATTCTTAAGGTTTATCATAGATGCTAATAATTAATGGAGAGTAAGCTAAATTAGCTTACTGAAGTTGCAAATATAGTTTGAATACAGTCGGGAGTAAGTGAATGATATTAGTGTAATGGCTGTGCACTAGCAGGAATTACCTGTATGCAAGATATTTTGTCTTGTTAAATCCTTAGTCTTTTTTGCTTGTTGGTTCTTGAAATCAGTTACGCCTTCATAAGAGAGAAAATTCAACATCTTGAATTTAAAAACTCTTCAACTGGTTGACATCGTCTATCCTCTTTCCAACGACTCATTTACTTGATGTGATCTTTTAGTGGTTTGATAAGTATCTTAATTGTTGACAGGGTGAGCCAAGCTTCCACCTTTATGGATTTATCATGTGTATAGGTGCAACTGCTGCTAGAGCCTTTAAGTCTGTTCTTCAAGGCGTCCTTCTTTCCAATGAAGGGTTAGTAATTTCCTACTTCCTGCCATCTGTTTAAGTTTTAAGTATTGTAGTTCTTTGTTGGTGGTTTTTTTTTTATCCTTATACTAGTCAGTTTATGGAAACACATGCAACCATGTTCCTCCGGGTCTATGTGAACTCTCACTCCACAACAATGCATTTCTATGTGTTTGCGGGACTTTTAAAAGATGAAATGGAAAGAGGTAGCCTTGGGACATATTCGCATTGTGAAAAACAGTTTGACAGCAACGGCAATGGAACCTCTTGACTTTTTTTTGACAAGTCCTTTGCCTGGATTATATGGCGATGCGAAGGGTTATTAAGGAACTTATGTATGCAAAGCTTACTAGCAAAATGGCTGCCCTTTCGAAGTCCTATAAGGAGGTAGCAGGTTGCCCATCAATCTCCCTCAGCATTGAGTGATGCTGGAACAGTTTTCTTGTGTGTCCAGTAGTAAAACAAACAAATAGGAGTGCGAAAGTGTGATATACTTTACTTCAAACCATTGAAGAGTCCGCGGCACAGAGGAGGTGTTAAGTTTTGAAGTCGATGAATTGAACTAGAACGGATAGGTTGATTGGCTTGAGGAGATGTCACCACAAATCAGTAGGAAGGAATACACACAACAATATCAAAATTGTGCAAGGTTATCAGGCCTTATCATGGACATAGACGGGTTGAGCAAACCTTAACAAGTCCATCAGTACAAGCCATGCAAGGATAACCGCATATAAAGGATAGAAATGGGTGTGAATCCAGGAGCTGACAAGTTAGTATCACAAACATAAGGGCCCAGATGATAAGGAGGCCCAACTGGCGTGTCTAAAGCCAAGTGCCTCCATAAAGATCCAGTACCCAAATCCAGGTACACAAGCACACAGCGAAGTTGTTAAGCATCATGATCGGTGCTTGAATACTTGAGGAGAATATGAACTACTGTTTACTACGTTGCAGTTTTGCTATACTGTTATGTTCGTTAGGAAATTTGTTCTTCGATATAGCTAGGTACTTCCTAGAACAATGATGGAAGCTGTAGCGAGTTGAAGGGGGAGAAGGTGGATGTCAGGAAAATAAAAAACTACGAGACGTAGCTCCTCTTTTCGCGTATTAGATTATTTGAAGGAAAATGAATAGTGGAAAATTTGAAAGGGCTGAAAGACCACAATGAGGAGTCAAAAGTCCTTTGTTGCTCATTTCCACTTTTTGTATAACAAAAATATCCTCTTATCCTGTATTATGTCAAGATCATGTTGTGGATTTGCAAGTTTCCAAAGATTGGAATATTAGAGAAGATAGCTTTTGGTGTTTCCATGTGATCAAAGGTTGTGATTAATTTTCATCTCCAACACTTAAAAGATCATCCCTTCAGTACATATTATCATATTTAGCCTTGTCATGATTTTGATAAATTATAGCTTATTCATTTGTTTCGCTGATACATGTTATATTTTACTTTTGTGACCTCGTTTGTAACCTGCTGTTTTTATTTTTAGGGATAAATTTAACTCCACATCCTCTGTTTTACATGTTATGACCGCCACTTTAACCTGCTGTAATTTTTTTAGGGAAAAGTTGAACTCCATGAATCTACTGCTTTACATGTCGCCAATTGCTGTTCTAGTTTTACTGCCTGCAACACTCGTAATGGAACCCAACGTGATAGATGCCACTATTACGCTTGCTATAACACATCGATACCTGGTCCTACTTATTTTGATCAATTCTATAATGGCATATGGGGCCAACTTGTTAAACTTTTTGGTAACCAAGCATACTAGTGCATTGACACTCCAGGTTTGCACTCTCCTTCTCTTACCCCTTCCCCTTTGTTTCCAATTTGTAGTCATATTTTAGCTTACTTTTACCTATTTTAAACAACTTTATTCTATGTGCATGACCATTTGTAGGTCTTAGGGAATGCCAAGGGTGCTGTGGCTGTTGTTATCTCAATACTTCTTTTCCGTAATCCTGTTACTTTTATTGGCATCGCGGGTTATGCAATGACTGTCATGGGGGTTGTTGCTTATGGGGAATCCAAGAGAAGAATCAAATGAGCTCAGACACAGCTTTCTTTTCTGAAGTCGTGAGTCCCCAGTTCTGTTTCTTGAACATTAGATGCACGGTAGAGTTAGTGATACATAGATCATCATTGCAATGTAGTGGCCAATTGATCAAGAGACGAAATGGAAAAAGGGTCAGGGGGCTGGAAAATCATTTCCATTCGTCCCTTTTGTTCAAGACGGATAGGATGTATGCAGTTGTATTGGTTTCTCTGTTGTTGCACTAACGTTATAGGGGACGAGGGATGGAAACTGTTAAATTCTTCTGTTATATTCTTTTTGCCAATGTGATAGGATGTATGTAGCTGTATCAGATGATATGTTGTTACACTAGATCAATATAATTTCTTGATGCTTTTCTGTTATCCTCTGGCTATATATATTTGTTTGTTTTTGTATATAAACTTCTTGTTAGTGACAAGAATGTCAGGCCTTACAATTGTATTTGAAGCAAGAATGTAACTTTAGAAAGGGGGATCATCTTGTTCCTTTTTTCTCAAGAAGTCTATGATAATACACCAAAATGCAAGTACAACACCAAACACTAGTGGCTGGTTCTTGTTATAAGTGAATGCAACAAAAATAACGAATAATGAAACAACTCATTTTCATTTTCAAATTTCTGCTTTGTTATTTCTGTCATCTGTAACCACTGGAAAGGTGGCAAGAAAAAAATGAACAATATGATGGATCACCAAATATTGCAGATCCTAATAGTATCAGTTCCTTAACCCAACCCCAAAGTGAAACCTCCCAGTCCGCTGGTCATTGAAGGCGTACTCCAGTCTTAAAGGTCCCAATGGAGAGTCTACGCGAATACCAACCCCACATCCATATCCACTTCCAGGTTTTCGCCTTGGTCCAGCAGGATCACCTGACAATGAAAAGCAACAATTAAATGAAAGGTTGCCAATGCACAATGTTAAATCCAGAGTTCAAGTACTCAGAATAATTACCTTTCAACAGGGGGAACAGGGGAGGGGAGCATCAGCCAAAATAGTAAACAACATCAGACCAGGGATACATACCAGGAACACTTGGACCAGATCCAAGGTCTGAACCATAATCAGCAAATACAGCCCCTTCTACTGGCCCCATCTGCAAAATGTGGGAATATGATAAGAAAGATTACACATAGAGCGTTCATGTCAAAGACGTTTATCAGATAACTAATATATTGTAGAGAAACCCAAGGGTGTGCTTAATGGTTTTAATGGTTGATGAAGCTGGAACAAAGACCATAGGAGACTGGGGTCCATATAGCATAATAGAGGCAAAAAAGTTTGGTCATTTCCTTCTCATCCTGGTGGAGTGGAGGGATGCAGGTCCCTCGTGCTTGTATTCAAGCTGGCCTGAATCCACAGTTATCAGCAACCGAGAGGGAGAGGGAGAGAGAGAGAGAGAGCTAAGAAATTGTACGTAAAGACGCACAGAGTGGTGTTTTAAAAATAAAAGAGCATAAGCAACAACCATCTTGTTAGAGTCGAGATAGCACCCATGCATCATTGGGATGGACGAAAAAGACAGCAAAAACCACCAATATCTAGAGAAATGAGTTCAACTATCATATTATTGTTTCCAACTGCCTCCACTCACCAGAGGGAATGAAATTTCACCACAGCCAACCACATAAGACCGGCTGGAGCCAACTGCCCCTTCTTCATATCCTCTTACACTGTTGGTTCCACCAATCGCAAATGCTTCATGAGGCGGAAAATTACCAACCACGTGACCACCAGAGAAGCTGAAAAAAAGACTCACAATAACCAGCAATTAAAGTTATGGGAATTTATAAAGGATACAGCTGAAGGTAGAAAAAACAAATTTAGTATCTCCGAGCTAATCATCATAAAAACTGGAGACTGTACCTAAGGAGAAGATGCATAGGACCTAATGCCAATCCTTTTCTAGCACGAGCATTGACTCTGTTGAAAACTAACCAGTCTGACCACACAGGAAGTCCCTGATCCATGTTGAAAACAAACTGCAAAACAGCAGGGAAAAATATCAAAGGGGTGCATCAAGAATTTTTTTCTATCCCTTTATTTACTAGACAGAATCTGGCAGAATATTAGGAAACTAACCACTGAAGAACCAGGGTCACCGGAACCAGTATAGACAGTCTCGAGTTTAGCAAGTAACATATCATCATGAGTATTGCCACTGCAGCAGTTCAGAAAGGAACACATTGGACACTTTCTTATGGTCAGATATACAACACTTTAGGCAGCATAAACCATCATCAATCCATACCTTGCAGTAAGTGGGCTACTGTAGTAATCCCTTATAATAGGACTCCCCTTGTCATCCCGAGCACCAGCACGCTGAGAAATTCAAATAAGAAGGACAAGTAGCAACCGTATTAACAGAAATGAGAAACAAAGAATATGTCAGACACTGGGAAGAATAATCAAATAACTCTGTTGATTCCCAAAGACAAGAAACAAGAAAAGTCTTCATCCTCTTTCGTACACTCTTTAACAATACAATCTTTTCCTTAAAAGATTATTCAAACTACTCATCCCTAGCTCCTGCTCAGTATTGCATAAATGGCTCAAATTATTTCTAGGGCATGTCATCATTGCATCGCTAAGCACAAGTAGCATTTATCTTTTATTTTTATGTTTCTCTTTAACAATGAATACTCCAAAGTTTATGTATAGGAAATACTCTTCGGTCCCTGAAACAACAGTAGTTCAATGAAATTTTATTACTCCCTCCGTCCCAATTTATGTCACAAGATGATGGAGGCGAGTACCCTGTGGGCCTTACAGAAACAACTGTGGAGTTTCTGACAGGCTGACCAATTCAACTCAATGTCAACCGGAGACTAAAAAATCAACTGTTATACACTCCAAATATCAATAAAGATCTTTATCTCTACATTTCCCTCTATAACCATGCAAATCATATCTGAAACTAAAATAATCATTTCATGGGAGGGCATAAATTATCTGAAGACATTAGCATAAAACCTACCTGAAATATGATTCCAGCAGTCCCGTTCCACTTTGGCCTGAACGGCCGACTGTATTCAATCCTGGCTGTGACACGTCCTATCGTCAGGCTACCATCGGGTTGGTTATGAACAAGTGTGCCAGGTGTCCTCGAATTCTAGTCAAAATTGAAAGTTAGGTAGAAATGAGCTCTCAAGAACTGTTATGATATATACTCTAGGGAACTTTAAATTACCTGTATCATAATTGATCTTGAAGTTCTCTTATCATCTCCTTCAATCCATGGATCTGTATAATTTATCCGAAAGACTGAGTCAACTTGTCCCCGCTCTAGTGACAAATTCAACTTTTGATTTCTCCCAAAAAGATTCTTGTGGTATATGGCACAACTGAAATGAAAGGACATAATGAACAACATATCCTTGGGAAAAAAAATTGATAGTAAACCTTTCTTTGGGAAAATAATTCAAGGTGGAAATAAGCAGACATACCGACTATAATAGATAACTACTAATACTCAGAAGGTTAAGTACTCACAGTGATGTATCCTTATAGTGATCTAAGGCTTTCTTCGAGAGAGCTATACTGTCTCTCAAAAGAAGTCCATACAAGAATTTCTTTCCTAGAAGTATTTTAGCTAAAAAAAAAGGCAACTCATGCTACAGATTTCATTTCTGAGATAAGATAGTCATATTGGCATCTTCATAATGTCCTTATCATAAAAGCTATTTAGAGTAGATTTGCAGTTTATCTAAATAAAAACACCAAAAGTAACAGAAATATATAGATTTTGCAGAAGTGCTCTCCAAGGGATTAAACTTTTCGTAAAAGTGCTTCACTGCTTCTAAGAAATAAGAAGAGCACTGAAATATGCTGCTTTACTTAAAATAGAAAGAGTCACTTTAAACCCTTAATGGTTTCTTCAGAAGTTCTCCCAAATGTTAACTGAACCTAATAAATAAAACTCTACATACTTAGCATATGTATAGCATAAAAGAATTTCAATTCAACCACCTAGAAATGTAAACAACAAAGGTTGAACAATCATAAAAGAACGATGGAAGAAAGCTATGCTGTGACCATTAACCACTAAAAAGATCTCCTAAAATTGAAAACAGATCTTAACACCCCGGAGGATTTCATACTATCCCAATTACCTGCCAATCAATCCAGCAAGGGGTCCACTTGTGATCCTGAAATTAAAATACATACCAGTAAACAACAGTGGAGAAACCAAAAGAGATATAATGACAAAGGAGTTTTCCAAGAATAATAACTTCTCAAATATCACATACCCACTTGAAATTCCACCACCGGCAGAAATACCACCCCCACTCTTGCGCTCGACAACATTCATAACTAAGTCTACCTTACCAGTGTCTGCAATATAACATCAAAAAGTTACTCTACAGAAAGAGCAATGGTAGCACACACAGTAGATGGCCAGAAGGGTAAGGAAGGGCCCTGAGCCCACCAATTTTTTTGTCGTAAAGAAGGAAATATAGATAATGTAATTCAGTTGGTAGATTTCCTAGGATCCTTGTAAGTAGTTTGAGTTCCCTAGGTTCATTGTTGATAATTTTTTGGAGGTGATGAGCATAGCCCTTAATGCTGGGAATACAAATTACCAATTTTTTTTAAAAAAAAAGATTTTCCCTGGTATCCTTAACTTTTTTTTTCCTTGCAGTGACCTGCAAACACCATATCTCTACAATTTCTCATTATTATGATATTTTTTTCTTTCGATACTATAGTATCATTTCATCCTTGATTTCTGTCATCTAATGCCCCGCCCAAAAATCCAACAGAAAAAGAAAACATCCCAGTGGTGCACCATATAACAAAGATAAACATGCATTTATGTACAAGGAGAAGTGCAACAAGATTAGACAGTTGAAATCATCTTTCACTAAAGCACCTCCAGCAGGTTGGGGAATAATGCTAACATCTTCCATAATGCCCATAGCTAAGACAGTGTCCACATCTCTTTTCCCTTGAAGCATGCTGTAAACCTAAAGAAGAATAGACCAAGTTTGACATTCAAATAATCACAACAATAGTGGATTTCCCAAGAAGAAATATGGCATACAATTTGAAAGCTTCCATGCAGTTGCAAAATCAGCAATTTCACTTATGCCAATTCACAATTAAGAAGTTACAGAAGCAGCAAAGAGTAAGACCTTTTGGCCATTTGATACACTAACACTATGTGAATCTCTCAAAGAGAAAACCGTGATTAAGGACCTTGCAATAAACAAAAAGAAAGACAATGTCAACTCTGTGACTTCTAGATTAAGATGTATAAAAAGATAAACTAGAAAAACTTGGGGCTTTTATGTTGTACAACAGGCACAAACGAGCAGACGTTGGAAAAAGAAACGGACAGGAGGGTATGTGCTAAGCACTAACATACTTTACCTACTTTAGTTCGCTACTCTTATATATTGTAACCTACTTATAAGAAACACAAAACTACTAAGAATATGTTTCAAATTATAAAAGTTTAAGGTATTAAAACAAGTATACTAGAAGACAGCTTAACACTAAATCATCAAAAGAACAAAAAAAATTATCTTAGAATAGAAAAGACTTGTTTTAACTATACCTGCCCTTTCTTTGTAGTAAGTTGCCGAAGTATAGTTTCAGGCCTTGTTTTCCCTACAGTTGGCTCACCACTGAGACATGCAAACAAGTGTAAGATATTGCTAACAGTTATTGCATTCACTAAAAGCATAGGTATGAGAAAACTGGGTCCTTACGTCTTATCAAGGAAACGGATGGCTATGTTATTCACCTCTGCTTCAGAAACCTCTAGCTTAATCATACCTCCAGAGAGCATTTCTACGCCCGATACCTACAGGGCAAGATAACTCTAACTCAGATTTTCGAAATCACAATGTAAGGCATTCAAAACAAAAATAAATGACAACAGGTTGCATATTTCATAATCAAGTGCTAACCGCTCCAAAAAGACCCCGCTCCATGTACCAACCATTAATAGAGCTTATTATTTCATCTATCCGCTTGATATTAACAATTTTTCCTGCATTGCTTGACACCAAAATAAGCAGAGCATGGGTTGCTTACCATACATAACGTAAAATATAGGCTGATTATTCAAAATACTTGAAAGAGATAAATATAAAGCAGAAGCTCCTGCATATGAAAAGAAACGACAATAGAGGGTGTAAACAGAGTATAAGGAAGGTGTACCATATCCATCTCGAAAAGAATCCTCTATAAACCTTGCTGGAAGCACATTGGCTCCTTCACATACCAAACCATGGAACTCTTGGTTTGGTTCTACCTTATGCCAAAACCATAATGATATAAGCAATTACACATGCCAAAAAATTAAGTAAATAATACATTTTAGTTTATAGATTACAACCATTTTGGAATGCAGGTAATACTACTTAGAAACTTTAAATTTGATAATACAATCTTCATTTGCTTATACAAAAGAAACTCTTTTTATTTGATTGAGTACCTGGAATACCAAACGAATACCGTCTCTAGTATCCACAGCAACAGGCATACAAGAGCAAAAGTAGCCACTAGCAATGATCCTATGCACATCTTCTTGCACCTCTTGCACAGTAAGCGCCGAATTGGGTCGGCAAGCTTTGAGAGCATTCAATACCTCACTCTCCAAATCCTTCCGTTCAAGTTCTTCACCATCTTTGCTTCGCACTAACACTTCACTTATCAGAACTCTCTCCTCATTCCCACTCCCGGTTTTCGTGCCCAACGACGGAGCTGAGTCATCCAAGTTGCTCTGACTCAACGCGATTGATGCACAGCAAAGTAAAGGAGATGTATTTGATAAATTCCAGGAAAATGGGATGATGGGTTTTCTTAAAAATTGCAGAATTGCATTTTGGGGATTGAACTTTTGATGAAATGGGTGTTGGAATTTGGATAAAGTTCGCAAAAATGCAGCTGTGGGGTTGAGATTTTGACGAAATGGGTGTGGGAATTTGGGAAAATTTTGTACAACTAAGTGTAGATTGGCGAAGAATGGGTTTGGGGTACGGAGGTGTAGATGAGGAGGAGAGAACAGAGGGAGTTTTATAGAAGATGAAGTGAAGCGAACGTCTTCGTTTTGGAGCATAGCTGGAGGTTCACCGCGCCGGCGTGCCGCACTCCGGCAGAAACAGAGAAAGAGTGGGAATCGTGCTTAAACCCTTTGGAATTTATAAACCCAGGCGGTGTTAATGCGTAAGCTATATATATCTTTTAAAATAAATATGAAAATATATGTATTATTAGTAGGGGTGTGCAAAAACCGATTTAACCAATAAATCGAACCGAAAAAAACACTATTGGTTTATTGATATTGGGTTATTGGGCTAACGGTTTTTAAATGGTTTTGCAAATTTTTTTATTGGGTTATTGGTTCGGTTTCCGGTTTTATAATTTTTGTTAATGGTTAAACCGATAACCCAATAAGACTATACTAAATTTACTAGTCTTATTGTTAATGGTTAAACGATTGTTACTTTCACACTTTTTCCTTTGAATGTGTCTAGTGTCTAAACTTGCAAGAAAAATGATTGTTACTTTTATGATTACTACTTTCATGCCAAATGCTGGAAAAATCATATGGTTTATTTGAAAATTTTCTTATCGTGTATATAATATATATGAGTATTTTCTTATTGGTTAAACCGAAAACCGAACCGTTAAGTACCATAAACTGATTAACCAAAACCGATAAGAAATATGTTATTGGTTTGGTTATCGGTTTGAAGTATTTACAAACCGAAAACTGATAAACCGAACCAATAACACCTAAACCGAACCCAACCGACCGATGCGCACCCCTAATTATTAGTCCAGCAGCGCGAAAGCTATACCCACCGTCATACAAATAAGTAAATCATATTTCATTTTTTTTTTCAAAATCTAAATTGACGAATCTTCCATTTGAAATTAGATATCGTTCTTTTCTTTTTTAGAATTTAGAATTTAAAATTTATAATTGAAGTTGAATTTTTGTGTAGATTTCAAATCAGAATTTGAAACGAGTCGCCTAATTAGGTGTTTCATACTTCTTAAAGGGATGACATTTTCGTTTTCGAAAATAGTTAACAAAAACTCAACAAATGATCTCACGATCCTGATTCAATGATCGATTAAGTAACTGAATTACGAAATCTCAACTTTGTCTTCACAAACATAAAGAAACTTTTTTTTTCTTTCTATGTAAAAAAAATTCCTATATCTCAACATATATAGGTTCACAACTACAAAAAATGATTAAAAATTCAAACAAAAACCTTTCCATTGCTTGAATGGTGTACTGTGAGCTTTTGTTCAAGTCTTCAACTGGTATTTTCTTTCCATTTGGTTGTTTCTTTTCCTTTTCTCATCAAGGTTTCACGGTACTCGAACCTTGACCAATTAAACCATACATAGGCCCCCTTGACTTCTCGATGTGAAAACACAGAGCCAGGACGTTGATCTTTGAATATGAAAACGAGCACGTTGGCTCTTCCGTTCTCTTAGACAAGCTCTGGACCATTTGGTAGTAGATTATAACCATCATGATGCTTGGTATTCTTGTGTTCAATAGGTATCAACTTCAATATTACTGCAACTATCAGGCTTGCAGCACCAATTAAGACACTGAGTAGCCATAGTTCCCAGCTGAGCGGTGTAGTGCTTGCCAACGTGCCTAAGAACTCAACGATGATAACTTGGAAAACAACAGTGGAAGTTATGACACCTAGGAATATCCAGCTTCCAAAAATGCCACGGAACACATTTATCTTCTCCATATCACGACTGTTTATTTCATTGAAAACCTGCATCAAACCGCGGAAAATATCTCATGAGTGACAATATTACACATATGAATCCATAACAAGGAAAATGTTTGTTCATTTTCCATCCGTATACTGCACTAAAGTTTACAGCAAGTACCTGACAGAACACAAATGTGTTGAAAATGAAAGTATTGAGAACTATGGTAGCATCTGAACCTTCGAGCCTCAGAATCTTCTTTCCAGTGAAGTTGAAAACTAAAAGTATAGCTAGTTGGAAGATACTTTGTCCGAGTATATTTCTCCACATCGTCTTGGAAATCAAACTCACTTCCCTTCCAACAGGAGGTCTGTTCATTAGTTCTTCATGAGGGGGTTCCGTAGCCAAGGCAATTGCACCTAAAGTGTCCATAATAAGGTTGACCCACAGCAGCTGAACCGTGGTAAAAGGAGCGGATCCTGTTATGTTATAGCAACAGATAGAATATCTATCAGTTATCTATTTAGAAACTTGTTTTCACTTTTTTCCAATGGCACACACTGATCACTAACAGAAAAAGAAATGAAGAACTCGTATTGAACATTGAATACCTGAAATGCATGCGGAGATAAAATTGATTATCAGAGCCACAACACAGACAGTCAGCTGGAACTGCACAAACTTTTGAATATTTATGTATACAGAACGACCCCATTTAGCCACATTCAAGATTGTGCTAAAGTTGTCATCGAGCACTATAATATCAGCGCTTTCTTTAGCAACCTGATAATGTATTTAAGAAAAGAGATGTCAAGAACAACTTCATTTGGAAGGTGTAATACAAGAAATGGTAAATAAACTTTGTATGACAGGAGCAATTTACAAACCTCTGTGCCTGCTATTCCCATAGCAAATCCAATATCTGCTTCGTTGAGAGCAGGAGCATCATTTGTGCCATCACCAGTAACTGCAACAATCTCGTTAAACATACCTTTTAGATTATTTACCAAAACAAGCTTGTCCATTGGTGATGATCGAGCGATCACCTGCATTCAAGATTCGAGCATTTCAAGAACCATTCATTTACACCACATGAATCTGCAAGAGTGAGATAAAACATTCAACAGTATACCTGAATTCTAGGAATTATATGCCTCATTTCATCAGGAGTTTTGTTGCGAAATTCTGGACCTTCAATAGCCAAACCATCAGCAGTTAGTATCCCACATTCTTTAGCAATGGCTTTGGCTGTCTTAATATTGTCACCAGTGACCATTCGCACAGTAATTCCAGCAGCTAAACAAGTTTTTACTGCATTTCTAACCCCAGGGCGAACTGGATCTTTGATCCCGATCACAGCAACCAATGTGTAGCCACTATCAGGAATACTATCATTTTCATAACCATCCTCAATGTCTTTGTAAGCCAAGCAAAGAGTACGCAAGGCTTCGCCAGTGAATTCATTAATGACATCCATGATATTTCTTGTTCGGTTTTCTGTCAAATGAACAATTTCACCATTAAGATCAATAAACCTGTCACACATTTTAATGATTATCTCGGCTGCACCCTTGCAGAAAGCTCGGTTGTTTCCATCTGGGAGAGCAATAAGCACAGACATCTTTTTCTTTTCCGAATTGAAAGGCTCAACCTTCAGCAGTTTACAGCCCCTTCTTTGCTTGTCAATATCACCACCAAGAAGCAATCCAAATTCTAATATTGCTGATTCTGTTGGTGTACCGAGAATAGATTTCTTTCCGCCCTTATCCTTAACAACCTCTGCTATCGTATTGTGAAATATTGCCTGCAGAAGCAATGCCAATTCTTTTTCTGATATATTCAAAGTTATTGCATCCCCACCTGCATCAGTTTCTACCTTTTTTGTTTTTTCACAAATCCATATCTTACTAACTACCATTCGGTTTGTTGTTAGTGTTCCTGTCTTATCTGTGCAGATGCAAGTAGCTGATCCCATCGTCTCACATGCGGAAAGATGTCTCACCAATGCCTTGTTATCCATTAGCTTTTTCATTGCAAATGCAAGACTCAATGTCACTGCCAGGGGCAGTCCTTCTGGAACCGCAACAACAATTATAGTTACTGCTGTCACAAAGTAATTCAGAAGAGTCATTGCATCGCCAGAAGACCATTTCATGAGCTCATGGTGAAGTACTTTCTCTACCAGAAATCTAACAGTCAACACCATAAACGTCAGCAGAGCAAATGCCAATCCGATTTTTCCAATAATGGTAGCAACACCACTCAACTTAACTTGCAAAGGCGTCTCGTCTTCTACACCATCTGCTAATCTCTCCATCAGCTTACCCCATTCAGTTTTCATTCCAACAGCTGTGATTAACATCTTAGCTGAACCATCTTGCACTTTGGTTCCCGATAGAAGAAAAGGTCTTCCTTCATATATTCTTATTGGTGCACTCTCACCAGACATGCTTGATTGATCAATTAACAAGCTGTATCCGGATATGAATATTCCATCTGCAGGAACCAGATCACCGATAGATAAGTGAACAACATCACCAACCACTAAGTCATAAATCAGAACCTTTTGCCTGGATCCATCTCTTGTGACCTGGATAAGTATCTTTTTCTTCTCCTTATCCAAATCCCTGAACTGCAACGACTGCCTGTAGTCACTAATTGCAGTAATAACGACTACCAAGAATATACTAAGCAGAATGCCTAGCCCATCATACGATCCTTTTGGCCAACCTTCCGTGGCAAGTCCCACACTAATGGAGACAACAGCACAAACCATGAGGATGATGAGAGTAATATCCTGCAAAGCCTCCCACAAGAAAGTCCAAAATCTCTTAAAAGGCTTCTCGGTGTATTTGTTCGATCCATATACATTTTGTCTGGAAGATACATCACTACTTTTGACTCCTACATTCAATGAGACACTCAGCCTACTCGCGACACCTTCAACTCCTCCAAGTTTCCTTAAGGTTTCGATGTCATACAAACTAACAATCAATGCGAGTTTTTCCAGTTCAGCCTCCATGATACCATTTCCCTTAACACTTCTGGAGGCTCACTATAACCAACTGGAGAAAAATAGAAATGACATGAGCAAAACAGAGAATTAAACACATTTGGCCATAAAATTCCGGAACTCAACTTGAAGTGGAATTCCAAAATTTTCAAGAATTTGAAAAACAAGAAGAAGTTTTCACTTTTCTCACTCCAAATTACTCACAAATAGTCAAAAACAACTCTACTTTGTATTCATGGTCAAACACAACTCCACAAATTCTCAAATATCAATTTCACTTTGAAAACAAAAACTATTTTTTTTTCAAATTTCACAATGAAACATGGTCAAACGCCAACATAGATCGTATAAAGTAGTACATTCTGGGGACGGTAGAGTGTACAGACTTTAAAACAGTATTGTCAAAAGCTAAAAGTTCAAAAAAGTGATCTAGGTCTATCAGGATTTAGAATTAGTAGATTCAATATAACCATGATCTTATTATATATACACATACAGCTCAAGCCAAAAGTTATGTAAACTAAATCATTGTAAAAACTGCAATTCAGCCTCTCAACTCACCTAGACAAAAATAAAAAAAAAACAAATTATGCAAAAACAAAATATAAAAATCATACTATATGTTACGAATTAATGAAAAACTCACACTTGACCTGTTTACATCTTGAGAAGCAGTTGGATGAAGAAATATAGTTGATTTTGATGCAGAGTTGACAAAGTACGGATCTAGCAGAACTCAGTAACTTTAGTTCAAACCTTATATTTTATATAGAAAACACTAACTCAAACGAGTTAAGAATCTCAAACTCATAAATTTCAAATTACGAATATTATTCTCTCTTCATCTTCCTCCTGTCCTCTGCATTTTCCTTAGGAAAAAGAGGTTAATTTATTGTTATTCTGTTGAGTGACAGTGTAGCGGTACAGATGGGGCATCATCCCATGAGCCTGCATTTTATGAAAAACATAAAACAAACCCAATAATGACAAAATCCACTATAAGATCCAAGATGTGAATTTTTTTTTTTTATAAAAAGTATAGTACGGTAAAAGTACACATAAATTTATTCAGAATAAAACAAAGCAAATAGGAAAAAAGAAAATAATCTTTTATTGAAGGTTAAACTCGGCTTGTTATTAAATTAGTACTAACTATTTTTTAGTATGTTTGATGAGAAAAGAAAGGATATTTAATATCTCATGAGATTAGTAATCACTTTTTATGAAATAGCTAATTTTATAGTTTAATTTTAAAATTATTATCATTATTCCATACTTATTATTTCATCCATTAAATTTAAAATAGTTTCCACTAGCCAGCTTATCATTATGTCAAATCCTATTTAATGGGGCCACAGGGGTATAAAGGGTACTAGGGTAGAGGGGGAGGGGGTGTTAAGGTGGGTTGTTGAAGTTGTTGGGGTATATTGAGAACGGAAAGACGATTAGCATTAACTTTAAAGTTGAAATAAATGTTGAGTAAAATAAAAATATCAATCTATTTATAGTATAAAGGGTCAGAGGTGATACATTTGGAAAACAAAACTATTCGAGTTTGAAAATTTGGGACTTTGAATTATCTTATCTGAACTTGAGGGTTACTTATAGAAATTGAATGTCGAAGAAAATGTCTAGTAGCTAAATTGATATCAAAAGTAAAATAATTCTCTAACTTAAAACGTATTTCAAACTTGAAATTTGCATTACAAGAATTTCACTTATCAAAGTTTCGAACTTTTAAATTAGGGATATTTTCTTTTATACAAATATAATTTTTGATATTTCAAATAATAACTAAGTATTAATTATATTCGAACTATTTTTTACCAAATTAAAAGCTCTTAAACACGGCCCTACACATCCAACTGTCGAGCTTGCAAATAAATGTGATCCAGCAAAGAGAAAGGGAATGAAATAAATACATTCCGCATTAATTTATTCGTCTTGCTTTTTTCTATTATTTCAAAAATAATATTTTTTCTCTTTTAGCAATTTACAATTTCAACTTTTCACGTTACAATCACATATTTAAGATTATAAAATTAAAAAATATTTTAATAAATTTGACATATCTTTAATTTAAAATCATAAAATATAAAAAAATATATTTATTTTCTTAAACTTCACGTCAAGTTAAAATAGAACAATCAAATCAAAACAAAAAGCGTATGAAATTACGAAATATTATTAGATTTCACACTGAAAAATTAGTGAACAATGAGTTTTTAATATAGTGAATAATTAAAATGAACCAAATGGAGCAATAAAATTTATAAAAAAAATAATAGGGAGTAACATAATAATGCACGAGGAAATTAATATTAATAATATTATTCTCTATGTGATTATTGATGGGATCGTCAATTATCATCAATTAATCTTTTTTCAATAGTCATATGTTCTTTACACATTAGTATACCAATTTATTCAAACTTAATTAATTTAAATTAAATAAATGAACACGTTTTTTCACATTTTATTACTTTATTATAAAGTCGTGATTAATTATTGCTATAACGTTCCGCCTTACACAAGGACCCATGAAATAATTTGATATTTTAGTGAATCTCTTGGAATTATCCCCTCATTTTCTACTAATCACACAAATGAGATTAGCTATAAGAGAAATTAGATATTTTCTTAATAATTACTCTTTTCATTTTTTATTTATTAGTATGAATATATCTTAATACGAAATTTCAAAAATTAAGTTGAAAAAAACAAAACTTTTAGCTCAAGCTACATTGAATATATCAAATATCTTTAATTTTTTCATGTTAAACATGTTATGTAGAAAAATGAAATTAAGATTTTTCTTTTTTAGATGAATCGAAAAGAAAAGTAAAGTAAATTTTCATCCCTAAAGGTGAAATTAGCTTCAATTTATGTCAAGATTATAATTGAGGCGCTTTTCGAAAGGCAAATTTTTATTCTTATTTTATTTCATTTGTATTTTGATTTTATTTTTTAGATGTAGTTAATAATTTTTCTTAACTTATTTGTTGTTTCACTCCCTCTAGTTTTTACCTTTTACAAACAAAAGCTAAAAAGCTCACCTGACACTGACCGGCGCCGGCGCCGGCAAACTACCAGGTAACATCTTGAATTGTCTCTCTCGCCGGCTCATCTCTTTTCTCTCAGTTCACTTTTCCTTGATTATCCCTCGCCGGCAACTGTGAATTGAGTGCATAATTGTAGTTTCACTGGTGTAAAAATTTGTTCTGTAGTTTAGTTTTGTTATTGGTGATTGCTATTTGGATTATGAACTGTTATTCTCACAGATTTGGGAAAAAGGTGAAAACTTTACTGCCTTTTAGCCTTTAGGGGAAATTGCATTTGTTAATTTATGCCCATCAAGTGTTCGACTGTTTGCCGAAAGTTAGGGGGACACTCTAAGGACTTAATTGTGGGCTATCTAGGAGGAATTAGGCTACTAAGTACGCTGGTTTGAAAATAGGGAGTTAAGAGTGGTTGGATATTAATGTGGCAAACACACACACGCAAATAAAGCTATAGTGCTCAATTAGTCGTGCTCAAACATGTTAGTTATTTGCACCCCTGGGGTGTGGCCAGGGGTCAATGAAGTGGTCGAGAACGATGAGGTATCAGGTTCGGAGATAAAAAACACTAGGTGATTCTTCTCATTTATACCAAGGATAGAGTTACCTGGTACCTATTGCTGGTGGGAGGTGGCAGTTATCTCGTGAAATTAGTCGAGGTGCAAGAAAGTTAGTTGACACACCATGGTCATAAAAAAAAACAGAAGTGTTAGTTATTTCCAATGTAGCTGATTTGAGCACGAATTTGGAGAAAATATTCTAGTGTCTTGGAGAATCTACCAATCCAGTTGGATTCTTCAGTTACTTTGACTAATTAATTTATCCGGGTTATTAACCTGCAAGAATAGCGATACTCTCCGAAAATTTTCAATTTCTACTCGCCTGCTCAGTTTATTCTAAGCCCTGTATATCTCTGAGATGAGAAACAAAAAGAATACACTGACAATTTCATGCAATATTTGGCTAAGCACGATGAATAGGTTATGCCTATCTTTATGCACAAATTAATCCCCTAATGCCTTGGTTCAAGAACATGTCCTATTTGATCCTATTGCAATAAGTAGGAAAATCACATATTTCTTCGTATCAAACACACCCGAAATGATATCTAAGAAATGACAGAATTAGGTAACCTTCTCAGCTCTCACTATCTCAGCAGATTGCTTCTTCTTATGATTAGTTTAGTTTAGTATTTGTGTTATATTCTTATCTGTTCTTTATTTTGATTAAAAGAAATTTAAATGCATATTTCATTTTGAATTTCGCAATCTATTGTTAAAGTAAATACATCAACTTTTTAAATTGTTTTGAGAATATGCTCAATCATGAGCTGCGCCACATTTTGGGTACAATTTTTACTTGGTTACTCATGAGATTAGTGGAGTTTTTCACATTGTAATGAATTGAACTTGTTGATACCCAATTTTGGCCTAACATTTTTAAAATTCGTAACTTTTAAGTTTTATTTATTCAATAGTTTAAATCACGCCACCATTCCTGATTCCCATCCAAACTTCAGACCAGCAGCCAGTGACCATCTCCCTTATTCCCCTTTATTTTGATTGTTTGCAGGCGTCTTGCCTTGCCAGAGAAAAATAACCAGATCCCCCATCGTTGAAACCCCACCTCTTTTCCGTCAAGCCAACCCTAAACCACCACAAACCAGCCTAAAAAACGCGACTAAACAGTCCCTAAACCCACTGAACAGCCGCCAGACCCACAAATCTCCAAACCCATCAACTCACAACGACCACCCTTCACCACCGCTGCAACCAGCAGCTCGAACCAGGCCGGAAACAACCACCGGAACTCTGTCCAAACGAGTACAACCAGCAACCACCATTTTCACACCGAAATAGGCCGAATCTGGTCAGAAAAAGCTTTCCCTGGTGACCCTTCTTTCATTCTTTGCTTTTTAGTACATATTTTTGTCTACGCTTTTGTCTGTTAATTAATTTTATTCATTGTTGATTTTGTTGATTATTATTTATTGTTGTTTTGGTGTTGTTGATGTTTTGTTATTTGGTATGGCCAGTGTTGTTGTCAATGTTGTTATTTGGTTATTTGGTATTTTCAGAAATTATTTGATTCTAAGTGAACTTTTGAATTTTCCAATGAATATACATTTGTTGCTTATTGTTATTATTGGGATTTGATTTCATTATATTTGATTTGTCTCTACTTGCTAAGATGGTTGTAATCTGTGCTAAATTTTTAACTTTTATGGAAATTTGCTATTTATTCCAGCTATGGAAGCTAATAAGTGGGCAAGTTTTTCAGAAGGAACTAGTGATTCTGAAGGCTACGGAGAGGATCCTGATGATGATGACCATTGTTGTGCATATGCATCCACTGATATACCCAAGTTGCAGTTCAGGTTTCATTTCATGATATAGATAAATTATTAAAAATAATTTTGAAAAACATATAGAAATGTGAATAGGCAGTAATCTTTTTCTTCAGGAAAGATATCTCAAGATCACGGTGGCTTGATCCATTAGGAATGGCTGAGGTCGTGGAGAGGAAGGGTGGATTGTGGACAACTACTGGGATAGTTCGTTATGGCAAGATATATTGCTTCATCGAAGAGATTTTGTATGTGATGAAAATTCTCTTTTGGTTCTCTCCTGTAGTTGAAGAGTTAAATACTACTGACTTTCAGTACATGCATAATTTGAGAATAAGCCATGAGAAAATAAGAACTGGGGTATTTTTAGTATATTTAGTCAGAAGTCAAATTTCAGATCTGTTTGGCCAAGAAAAAGTGAAAATACTTTTTCTTGAGTATCTTAACAAGATCTCGAAAGAGGTATTATTTCTCTTGTTTTTCTGGTTGCAAAAAGGTGAACATTGTATAGTTCAGTTAATAAATTGGCATACTTTTCTGGTGACTTTTTTCTCATCGATGATTCTGATGGCTGATTTTGGTATAGATTTCTTATACTCTTAGTGATAGTCTCGTTACCCCTCTGAGGGTTATGCTTGGGAACTTTAGTTGCATACTTGTCTACTGCTTCGACACGTTTAAAATTAGTCTGGTTAGAGAAGCAATGTAAAACCAAATGGATAAATTATATGAAGAGATAGATAACAAGTATTTAAAGGTAAGTTTTTCCATCTGACACATCTATTTGTATTAGGAATTGATATGAAAAATTTATGTATCATTTGAGATTTACCTTCTGCAATTTCCAGTGTTTAAAGAATTTTACTGATTTTTTCGTGTAGATATCTTACCGAAATTGGGGCTCTACATCTCCTCAGTAAAGATGACACGCCCCTTTCTCTGGAACATGTATACAACAAGGTTGCAGAAGGAAAAAGTGGATGTTCCTTGGAATATTATGAAGCATATAAGCACTTGAAATCTCTTGGTTATATAGTTGGGCGTCATGGGATTCCTTGGTCAGTAAGAAGGTTAAAAGTAAATTGTGTTGTTAATCAAGACACGCCGGAGCCTGCTCAAAGTAAAGATGAAGAATCAAGAAACAGTATTCTCATCTCTGAAATGATTAATAATATACAGATTGGTGGATTGAGACTGGCCTTTGACGTTTACCCTCCCAATAGCAGATTCAGAAAGTCTGCTCCTGGTGATCCATGTTTTGTACTTTGTCTTGCTAGGTACGATACCCTTATTAATGCGTTCTTTATATTAAGGTGCCTACTAAAATTTTCTGAATCACCTCCTAGTATTATTTAGCTGATCATAGGAACTTGAAATAACTAGCTTAGCAATTCTATGGGTGAACATTGCTGAATGTTTAAGAGTAACATGATTGTCGGATTGGATGGTATTCTGGAAAAAAGGTAGTTTCTGTAATATTTTCCACTTAATCCCTCACTCGTGCTCTGTCTGATTCCCTCAATTCCTTTATCCGACTTCGTTGATCTACATTAACTGTCAAAGTAGCTTTATTTTATGAGTGATGTATTTTCTTATGCAGTGAGTATCCACCTTCCAAAGATGAAATTGAAAATCTTGAGAGACATTTGCATGGCATTCCGTTGAAATTCTGTCTTGTTGAGCATGGACGTTTGAGCTTTTTCTCATTCAACAAAGTTGAGCTCCCTATCCTTCCATGATCCTTTCGAGCAACAGATACAAATCTTGGCATGCCCTGTGAAGAACTATGGTACAATTATGAATTTTCAGTTTGTGGATTGATGTTTAATCGTTGTGTAATCACAACACATTATTAATGAAACAACAGATAACAAGTCTCGTCTTCTTTGCCTTAACGTACGTGTTACAATGGTGAAATTTACTTAAAACTGATCTATCTGTTAAGTTGGTATAACAGTATTTTACTCTTTGCCAGAGCCCCAGAAACACTTTTTTATCCCTTGGCTGCTGGACTGCTCTATCATTTTTAGCTCTTTTGCATCAGTCTGTTCACAACTTTATCAGCTTTCCATCCACTTTGTCAACTTCTAAAACTTATATTGTTAGTGATGTTCCAATTGATTGGTGTTTACATGGTGAAATTTTTACTATGTGATGTTAGTTGTGTATAAGACACATTTAAATTTTTTAACTCTTTTAAAATGTTTTGTTTCAACTTCTTTCCATGAAAGGCGTCTTTATGTAGGGTATAGCTATGTAGGTATCTAGTGAAATAATTGGGATACATGCAAACTGATTAGTCGTCACCATCATTAGGAAATAAACGGGTCATAGCTGTGTAGGGCCAAAACCAGATAGATTGATGTACAACTATAAACCACATATGAATCTAAGATGAGACCTCTAACATAAACAAGTCCATGATCATTAATTGGTGACGGCTGCTAACATGGGTTGTGGTGTAGTGGTGGAATTGTTCCATCCTTAATCAAAGATCTCGGGTTCAAGTCTTAAGTATGGAGAAAATCTTGTTGAGAGTGTCACTCGGGTCCTGTAGTGTGCGATCCAAATTTAATTGGGGCTTTAATGCAGACTTCAGACACCAGATGAATTTTTTTTTGGTGATGGCCATGGTATGAAAAGGCAATCAACATAGTTGTAGTCTTCATTAGCTGTACAAATTTGAATTGACAGGCAAATTTTTTGTCAACAATTTGAAAGTGAAGTTTGTATTGTAGTTATTTTTTCTTTATTTCTGGTGTATTGTAGTTCTTGAATTTGAGTAAATATCAATCTATGTACTCAACTAAATATATTTTAATACATAGATAATGGACTAGCACAATTGATGTGTTTTTCTAGTTAACTGAACTATCACAATCTACGTACTCAACTAAATATATTTTAATATATAGAAAATAAACTAGCGTGAAACTCGCATAAAAATAACAATTCAAAATTTTTTTCGCCATTAACTCTTAATTATATCGCATCAACATAACTATTTATGCTTGACTAGATTCATATCCTCAAAATTCCATGCATGAACCAAAGAATAGTATTTAAATATGGAATTTAATTTACACGAGGGACTCATTGAACTTAATTATAATCGAATACGTAACTACTTTAACCAAAAACAAAGAAAAAAAGAACACAAAATTTAAGAAAATGTTAAAAACATGAAGTCAAGTTTCATAGATGCTTTGCTACTTTCTAAACTTTCTCTCTTGTTCACTAATTTAGTGTGCATGGAAAAATCTATTTTGACTTTTAAAAAAAAATAAAAAATTAATGTTTTAAAGTGATAAAATTAACTTATTAAAATATGATTCGTCAATCTAATCAAGTTCAGACATATTGATTCTGCTCATTTTAACTTGTCCATTTTAGACTGATTTAGACTACAATACGTATTTCCAACTTATATCATGAGAAATGTGATCAAAATTTTTAAGAGACTTTTCTCATTTGATATATTATATATAATTACAATAAAGAAAAAAGTAATTAAATAAAATTATAAGAAATAAACAAAAATTAAAATCTATGTAAAAATTGGACGAATTGAGTTGGAACATGGATGAAATTCATTATATAGTCATTGTGCCCTCAAGTAATATTTGGATGGACCCGTCCAAAAGTTATTCAAGTTTTTGCACGGATTGCCTTATTTTGGGATAATTTTTAATTCTTGCCTCCCTTCTCATTTAATAAAAATTAATGAGCTAAAGTATTCTTAATTATGACCTAATTTTACAAGGCAAGAAATAAGAAAACTTTTACCGTATTCAGTAGTATAAGTTATGTAGCATCTAATAAAATGAACTAAGCTCAGGCTTAAACTAATTAAACGAATCATATTTTCATGAGTTAATTTTATCATCCCTAATAAAAACTTATTTTAAGTATCAAAACTAAATTTGGAAAGTGTATTATTAGAAACCATACATCTTTAGAAATTTAAGAATTCTATATTTAGGTGTCAAAGCCAAATTTAGCAAGTGTATAAAAAAACCTTTTTAAAACAGCCTTTGTTGACTTTTGGCTTTTACAAGGTAGGGGTCTAATCACATGAAACATTATTGTCCTCTAAAGCTAAAATTTTAATTTCTAAAATAGTCTTAAAATATTAAAAAATCGTAATATATAGTTATATTTAAAATCTACTTTTTTAACCTTTTTTAGATGCGAAGTCATTAATCACTGTTTTATAATCAATTTGTTTTAGTAATTCATTTTCAATTGATAATACTCCCTCCGTCCCTATTTACTTGTCCATATTTCCTTTTTTAGTTGTCCCTATTTAGTTGTCCATTTTGACAAATCAAGAAAGGACAATAAATTTTTTCCTATTATACCCTTATTTACACTTCTTGAAAATTGTAAAAGTGTATGTTGTTTCCCTCCAATATATTTCACTTGAATTCAAATAAGTGGTTGTAATTTTGAAGTGAAAAGTTGTCATAAGGGTAAAATTGTAACTTCACTATGCTAATCATTGTTGCCTTAATCTGTGTGTCATTTCTAAAGTGGACAACTAAAAAGGGACGGAGGGAGTATAACTAATTCATTCAATCTCTCTTGAGACATTGTTGATCTTAGATAAGAATTTATTAATTTTACTTTTGAAAAATTTAATATATACTTAATTCTTCAAGTTTTCTCTTTTTCTCCCTTTTTGTAAAATCGGAATCATATTTTCTAGTTGACATATTTAAATTGAATAAATTTTAATAATAACTAAAACAAGAATATATATATGAGCTAAGAATATCAACAATAACAAATTTTAAAGAAAAATTATAAAATAAAGTTAGAATAATAAAAACATGGGTCACAAATTGATAATTTGATATAACAATATCGAAATAGTGTTGTGTTTCTTCAATATAATGATTATTTGTTGCACTTCTCGAGATTTTGAAGAAGACACTCAAAAGCAAATTTTGTTCTTTTGAAACTTGCAAGCAACCGTAAATAAAAAAAAATTGTAGGAGAGAGATTAATATTGAGAATAAAAATAATAAAATAGACAATAAAAAAGATAAGTACTATAAGATAAATAATAATATAGGGTCAAAAATTTTTTTAAGAGATAAATGAGGAAACACAATTTTCACTTAAGGAAATTATTTCCAAAAGGTGTTCCATTCCCTTGGAAAAGTGGGAAAACTAACTGTCATTTTGTTTTTTTTTTATACTTCTTACATGTTTTTTAAAAAAATAAATAAATTAAAGTACATATAATTTTTTTCTAATAATTGGGGCCACCCAAAAATGTGGCCCCAAGCTATGGCTTTAATTAGGGGTGTTTGTGGTTCGGTTTAGATCGGTTATTAGTTAAAATCAAAATCAAATTAATCTAGTGGGTTATTTAAATTTCTAAAATCAAACCAAACCAAACGAAAAAAATAAACTGTCAGCTTGGTTATTAATGGTTTGATTCGGTTTGGTTCAGTTTTTCTGATTTTTTCGATTTGAAAATAATAATTTTTTAAGGACATACGTATCTTGAAAGACACAAACACCAGCTAGTACATGAACAATCCACAGAAAAGCTATTGTTGGTTCAATCAACAATACTAGAGTTATCATTACACAAACAAAGTGATTCAATTAAGGGAAAATGTGACTTTCTTATGAAAGATATGGTAGGTAAAGACTAAAGTAATAAATTTTGATGGACTTGGACTTAGGATTGTAATTGTTGGGCTAAAATTTAAGTGTTGTGCTTGAGAAAATGGTAAAGTTAAAAACTTAATTTACTTAAAATTTAACAAAATTTTTATATTTTATTTATGAATAATATATAAATAATTATAAAATTTATACATATAATCTATCTGTTCGGTTTGATTATTTTTGCAGTTATTTTGTAGTAAATCAAAACCAAACCAAATAGTATCGGTTTTCAAAATTCAAAACCAAACCTAATCAAATCAAACAAAATATCGATATTTTTAATCGGCTTGATTCAAATTGCGATTCAATTTATTTTTTTAACCATAACCATGAATAACCCTAGCTTTAGCTTTAGTGGTCTTGTAGCCTACCACGGAAGCGGGAGATAAACCATCAAATCAAGTTGCCCATGTGTTTCATAAAAGAAATATTTTTATCTCTATATATTTTGAATATCTACTCACAAATATGTTTAACAAAAATATCTATGTTATAGATTAAAATTTAGAAATTAAAGTCTAAAGTTAGCATTATTATATTTTAATATTGCTTATTCGAGATTATTTTAAGGATCTAAAATTTCAAATCAATGAAAGCAAAAAAAATAAAAAATCTCATTATTTATCCAATAAAAAGTTTAAAATATTGTTGGCCTTAATTAATTACATTATTAACAACAAATTAGAGTTAACCCACTGACGAATGATCCGTTTAGTTTGGATCTCGTCACATGCAAGCATGCTTATTGTGTATTGAAGCCCGTGAAATATCATGAGACATTACTTCGTCGAAATAATTTACCGTTTCAATTATTAGTCTTACTTTTTTTTAGTCTGATCGTCTCTTTTTCAATTATTTGATAACTCTTTAATCTAAATATTCCATGTAGCATATTTAATTAAGATAACAAAATTAAAAGATATTTCGATACATTATACGTTTAATATCACAACATTCAAAAACGTTCTTTATTTTCTTACACTTCTTGCCTAATCAAATTAAGACAAACAAGATTGAAACGACAATATTATACTATGTATACAAGCGTATATATTTTAAAAAGTAATAAGCAAAATAAAAATATTTGATATAAATTTAAAAATTACATTGCATGGCACTATATATAGTAACATAATCATTTATTGATTACCTTAACAAATATGAACTTATAAAATATACTGCATATATTATTG